AACAAAAATTCCTTTGTTTAAAAAGCGGTGTTAATTCATTATAGCACGGTAGCATAGTGTATTCCTAGCTTGTAGTCTCTGTATTTTTTCAAATATAGACATATTTTTTTCATTTTACTTAAGAAGACTACATTTTATTTTTCACAGTGCATATTTAAAACCACGAAGGATTTTCATATTTTCTTGTTTTCAAGTAATTACATGAATTCAGTTTTATAAGTTTGCACATAAATGTGGAATGAATAATGTTTGTTTTCACACATTATATTTCTTAATTGTATCCATATGTTTTAACTATTTTTGAAAACTAGACTGATGTACCGAGTAGATTTGTCAGTTAATTGTAAAACAACGGGTCATGATTCACATTTCTTCATGTTAATTCCCATTTTTATAACTAATAACAATTTCTATGTCGGACTACATATTTTATGTTTTCACCTTTGTTATTTTATAATTACATGTTGATGTGTCACTTGTATAGATACAGTTGTAAAATGATAGGGGAATGACATTGTTTTATATTTTATTTTTCTTACGCAAATCTTTAATGCTGGCCGTTATAATGATTTGTTTATGTGAATTAATTTCAATGTTACTGAATTATGGTACCCTTCGGTTTCATTGTGTATAAAGCGATGTTGTTCTTGTTTTATTTTTAACAATTGTTTCTTTTACCATTGTAACAATTTACTTAGTACAAAAAAAAATGTAGTGGAAACATTTTTAATTGAGCCGAGGGTAATGTCAAGGAATGAATTTATGTATTTTACTTTTACTTTGATGTTTCAGCATCTGTATTATATTTATCAATTTGACATCTCTCCCCCTCCTGTCCCACAGTATCAATGACGTATTGTGAGTTTTACTTTCGGCGTAGAGATAAAAGGTTGAGCATTTCCTGTCTTGAGAATTCGGCCTAAATTAATGTCAACCATCTTTCTTTTGATGTTACAATTTCTGTTTTATTCCATTTCATTGGCTATCTTTAGAAATGTGGGAGGAGTTTGGGGGAAAGAGATGAGATTTGTGTGATGTTAGTTTCGAGTCTGAATTTAGAGTTTTAGCGAGTTGTATGTAACTTTTTGGAATTCATGAATAAATATCCATAAACATGTAGTGACGAGTACTTTCTTGGAAGTTATAATCGCATCGTCACAATATACTCATCCCAGTGGCAGATTTAAGGGGGAGGGGGGGTACCCAGCCCTCCCCCTAAAACCGTCAAAGTTAGCGTAAATAATAGTTTCATCTAGAAAATGCAAAAATGTCTACTCGGTAGACCTCATTTTTACCCTACAAAATCTCTAGAATTCAGGAACTTCTGGGGGCTTCGCCCCCTGGACCCCCACCAGGGCTTCGTCCTGGACCCACTGGGAGCCTCAAGGCGGCTCCTTGACCCCGCTGCCTACTTTTTGCACCCCCTAACTTCAATTCCTGGATCCACAAATACTCACTTCGTTGTGAGGGGATAAAAAAAGAATTCATAAAAGTGGAAGGCTTTCCTTAATTAATTCCTTTATTAAACAATGTATGATTCGCTTTTTAGATTCATTTCTCGATCTAGAATTTGGCGGGCGTATTACCCTGAATGAAGCATTAATTATTGAAAATTAAGGAACATCCATGATTGTAATTAATTTTCAATAATTTTCTTTTTCAATATATCATTTACGTAACGTATGAAAATCTGCACTTGCTATTTTCGACATGATTGCCGACGTGAGAAACGCGAGCTAAAATGCAAAAAGAATGTCTTAATTGTCGAAATAAACATCACATGAGGACAGCCTTATTGTCAATTATCCCCTGGAATTAATTAAAAACAACAATCAACATTTCATTTGATAAATTTTACTTGATTGCCTTTCCTTTTTTTCAACTAAACTTGATATATGTCATTGTATTTTTATAAATGTTGTTAAAAACAATTCATAGATGCTTAAAAATAACGTTTACTCAAATGGGAAAAAAATCCACCGATGGGAATGAAAAAAAAACATGTATTGGACATTGTAAACCTATGATTGTGGTGCTATTTTTCGTTTTCAAATAAGTAGGTCAATGACCTATTTTTTATGACAAAGATTTTCTTTCATAGCAAAATATAACAAGAAAATAAAACTCTCAATAATGAAATACATGTACGTATAATGAAAATAAGGGAAGCATTGAACATTAGCTAAATAGCCAGTCCGAATTTCCTCTGTCGATATTCTAAATTCTATCCATTTTTACACACACACACACACACACACACACACACCCTCACCCTCACACACACACACACACACACACACACACACACACAGAGAGAGAGAGAGAGAGAGAGAGAGAGAGAGAGAGAGAGAGAGAGAGAGAGAGAGAGAGATGGTAACGCTAAAAGTTGTATAGCCTTAGTTTATTTGTCTTTTTTTGCTTGTTTTAAAATTTTATAAGGGCAAGTAATGAAAGAGAGGAGTATTGAATCATATGATGGTATTAATCAAATGTTCGAAATTATGGAATTGAGTATACACTTCAAACCCTCCCCTGAAATGCATAGCTGATATCAAAATGTGTTACAGCCTTCCGTATTAGTTACCTGAGGTAGTCCGTTTATTTTATTCTATGTATGTACGCGTATGTGAAATAAGATCAAAATATAGTAAATCTGTATAAAATAAATGGGAAAAAAGACTCTGGACTTTCTTAAGAATTCCCCAGTGGTAAAAAAATGTAATGAAAAAGCAAGATTGGCATTGTTTCCAAAATTTGTAGATTCCTTTCCTCCACGGTCTGGGGTTTTATATTTTGTAATTTTCAAATCCACAACGTATTAGAGGCATGTTCCATTAAAGACAACCGCACAAAGTAACAACGTTATCAGTTTACTATTTGATAAAACAAATACTCAAGTTTTTTCCCTAAAAAAAATATTGTTAATTCTGGAAGCTTGATGCTTTATCCCTTTATTGCCCTATTATATCACAGAACTCTAGAATATTATAGGCATTATATAGATATATTTTCGTAATTTCGATATGGTTTTAAAATCACCATTTCATTCAATCTCTGTCTTCAGTAATATGTTAAAAATATTCTAAGATTTTCATATTGAATGACCATTCATATTTGTTCAAAAATCATTCTATATTTACAGTAACAAAAAACAGAACTATTAACAAGGTGTTGATTATAGTCACAATATAACCAAACACTTTGTCCAGTTTTACGGCTAATTGTTGCCAAGAATCTGCCTCACAACCGAAACACATCATCGCTTCACTTTCGTTTGCATGCAATGAACCTCGTTTTGTTTTGTTATTTTCAATATGATTTAATATCCAAGTATACACCCTGTTCATTTCTGTTCCTTTTGCTTTATAGTAAATGTGACTGACAAGGACCTCTAAGAGTATGGTCGTTCCACTCATCAGAAGATGCATGGTCATGAAAATTCCAAATTTAAATACGTGTTCAGAAGATCTAGGAACTTCTGAACTTATTAATGTCATAAAGACGGCGAATGTTAAAAATATTGCCATTGTCATGCCTATTTTTTCACCGGACTCAATCGGAACAAGAAAACACACCATATTTAAAACCGATAATAGAAGAATTGGCAGTACAGTACTATACAAATAAAACAAGGGCTTTCTGTCCATCACAATTAAGAACTCCAGCTCAGTAAAATTTTTGTCGTTTTCTATGAGATCTGTTTTAATGTTTGATCCAACAATATCCCATTCTTCATTGAGGATGTAATTACTAAAATCTATGTTATGGAACTTTGGTGTTAGCTTAACTTTCCCATCCTCGGAGTACCAGGTTCCAATACGAATGGAACACACTTGACTGTCAAAAGGATATCGGCTAATATCCACATCACATCTCGTCTGCACCTCTCTATTCCACCACAGCGTGACTTTGCCGGTATATTCCAGCAGTGATTTTCCCTTCTCTGATTTCATTAAACACTTGTTGTTAGTAACTTCATTTGCAATGCATACATCGGGTACCCAGAGTTTTTCTTGCGGAACAACAATTGAGTCAATATGCGCAAAATGGCTGCGGTTCCAAGCCATGTGCATGTCTGTCCATTCCAAATCGATCCACACAGTGGTCCGAAGCGTCTGGGACCTCTCTATTAAAGAGTGTAGCGTCACTAAGTTGACGGAAACATTGACAGTGATGGGTTTGTGATAATCAAGTGTTGGTCGTACATTCGGATTGTACTTGTTTACATTTTCATTGAAAAGTTTTTCAAAAAGCCTATATTCTGGATGATCATCACGTTTAAATGTCAATGCAGTTTTCATCTCGCAGTGCAATATACTAAACATCAAAATCCACATGCTCAACATTTTACTCAAAATTCATAAAGTGATCGCTGAAGCTCACTTTCAGTTTCTTAAATATCCATATGTTACATAACTCCTGTCTTCTTATCTTGGATATGGGCATACTGCGCTCATTCTTAGAAATTCATCTTATAATACAATTGTTTAGGTGGAAAGTAGGTATAAAATCTCCTGTAAAGATAGAATTTGAATCATGTAAATTTTAGTTGTAAAAAGATTGATGTTTAATATTTATGAACGATATAATCGAACAGCAAGAGCGTAGTTCCACTAGAGAATTTTTCCCCCTCATACAAGTGATGAAAAATTAAATAGCTGAGGGAATTCATAATGCAATTTTTAAGTGAAATCAAATCGAAGCCTGCCTGACTTCACTAGAAAATACATCATATGAAAATAACACTCAGAAACGTTTAAGACTACACATCAATACATGTATTTAAATAAAAAACAAAAAAAAAACTAAAAGTAAATTCTATTGATAATTAATCATAACTGCATAATAAACAAAATTTGGAATTGCTCACTTACCAAAATAGATAATCCTTAAACCATATTCAATCTTGAGTATGTGATACACGATTCTTATTACGAGGTTTCCTCTACTCGTATGTGATGTATATATAATATTTATTTATAGAGCCAAATCGGAAAAACAGAATACAGTCATCTAGTGAGGCTGGTGAATCTCAAAATGGATGTATTTATCACTGTATACTGTGTGATATTTGGAATTATCTGGACAGTGAGAGGAGATTCGCTCGAGTCCCTTGTTCACAGTGCGGTATTTAAAGATTATAATACCTGCATTAGGCCTGTCCAAAACTCCTCATTACCAGTTACGGTCGAAATCAGCTTAGTACTTCAAAGCATGTACGATGTGGAAGAAAAACACCAGACATTATACTCGTCTGTTGGAATCGAATTGACATGGGTTGATGAATTTGTATCGTGGAATTCTACACACTTTAACAATGTCGACACGATCATTGTCCCATTGAAATCAATTTGGAGACCTGACATCTGCATAGAAAATGACTTATCTGATAACAAATGCTTGAGTGCGGAGTCAGTAGTACAAGTGAGTTCAGAAGGCCAAATAAACTGGCGGTTAACTAAAGAACTGAGAACTGGCTGTGAAATAGACATAACAAAGTATCCATTTGACAGACAGACCTGTGAAATACGAGTCGGTACTCTGTACTCTACCGACCAGCAAATCCGATTTCGGACCAAACAAGTTTCGACAACCTCATATCGCTTCAAGGAAAGTGGTGAATGGAAGCTAATGGGGGAAAACTTTGAAAGAGTCCAATATACATATGCTCAAAAGAAGTTTACCTATGTCAAAGTTAAGTACGATTTAGAGCGTCTGGCTTCGTTCCACGTTAATACTATGATTATACCCCTTATAATTCTGTCATGCCTTAATCTAGCTTGCTATTGTATTCCTTTTGACTGTGGAGAAAAAGTGTCAGCATCCATTGAAGTGTTTCTGGCCTTTGCTTTCGTCTTGATTGCGATAAATGATGAAATTCCAACAACTTCAAGACACATCTTCACTTTTGGGCTGTTGATGTCTTCACATTTAATTTTCAGTGCATTGTCGGTAATAATTAATACTTTCTTGTCCTATTTATACCACCACAATTCGGATATGCCAGTGTCTACATTTTTCCATTTATTGTACTCAACAATTCATGAGTTCCGAATGCCAGGAAAACGGAACAAGCATATTGAAGTTAAAGAAACGAGTATATATGATGAACCTCAAAGACTCTCTAGGCGTACCAATAGATCCAGGGAAAGTGGAAGACACAATAAGAGAAATTCCACGCGAACCACGGCTTCATCAATCCGTTCGAGTTATTCTGTTTGTTCTCACGCATATAATGTTGACTGGACTATATTTGCCATTGAACTTGAGAGGAAAGCATTTATTGTAATGTTGATTCTGAATATCTTAAGCTATCTTATATTTCTAATCGTTGTTTTTAGCTAGAAAATTGTAATGCATTGTATCTTACTTTCAATGATTTTTTTTTTATTTGTTCCAAGCTTAAAGGATTTTTCAAAAGATTTTAATACTGAAATCATTTCCAAATAACTTTGACAAGAAAGGAAGAGGAAACATTGCAAAACATTGTGGAACCATCACTATAGGAAACTTATTTTTGTGTGACATAATTCATGATATATTATCATTCTAAGGCTATGACAGGAATATATAATATGTTATAATATTAATGTCATGTATTTTTTTAAAAAAAAAATTCTATAAAAGTTGTACTTATGCATACTCATTTTAGAAATTATTAGGGATGGCAATTGGTAACCGGTAAACGATTAATCGGACGGAACGATGATATTCGGTTAGGAAATCTGTAATCGGTTAGTCGGAAAAAATGAAAATATGTGTAAATTTTCTTAAAGTTCAATTTGCAATTTAAAAAATCTATGAATGTTGATAAGTTATCACTTTTATTACATACAAGTATTTAGATATAATTTATTAGGACTCTTCGGACTGAGGTGTTGGGGTTATTGGTCAATTTGTGAAGTGTTAATTGCTGTTTAAATATCATGCCGTTACCCAGCTTTTCCTATTTGTCTTTAATGATAATAATTGAATCACCGTTGAGTATTGTGAACTGAATACATTGTGTATCTTTTGCAGTTATCTGCAAATTATATTTTTATGCAAACATTGTAAATTAATTAATAGTTTAACGAGTTTCGTTCCTGAGCTTTTGAGCAGATTTTTGTGTATCTCTATTTAAAAAAAACTGAAAATCTCTACAATGTATAATAATGTTTTAGTTCTTATAATTAATTTGGATTCTACAATGCAAAATAAACTGGATCCAACATCCCTAAACTTTGTTTCTGTTTATGGTGACAATGCAGAATGACCGTACGTAATGTCAGAAAATTATCAATGCCCTTGATGCATGTATCTCATGGATGTTTTATGGTTTTCCTTTCGAAATTGAATTAAAATGCGTAAAGTACACAGATCAAGCATAAACAGAATATTACTAATGTCGTTTTTCTTTTCTTTTTTAATTTATATATTAATTTATTGGAAAGGGGGTATGAATAGAATTAGTTTTAAAAAATTATGTCCGGAAAATTGTATTTTGTTACGATTAACCGGTTAATCGATCGTAACGTCTTACGGTTAACCGATTGGCAATTCTGTATTCGATTGCTATCCCTAAAAATTATACTAAATGCATGAATTTTTTCAAAGCAAATTAAATATTCTCGAAAGCCTGTACAATATCCTAATTTGCTTCGCCCAGAGCATTTCACTTCGATTTCTAGACTTGTTTCTGTCATTTGTTGAATTCAATAATTGATGTATTTCAATCTCAAGATTGGTTTCTTGACATAGTCGGATACCCAACCGCATGATGAGTAAAAGACGAGATCACCCGTGGGTATCCGACGATGGTTTCTTGATTCGAATGCTTGTGTAGAGATGATCAGTGTGACTCTTTCTACTCAGAAAAATATTTGCATCATTTCCTCAAAGTCAATACCTCTCTCTCTCTCTCATAGAATTTTAAGATATTTCAAAAGTTTAAAAATTGTTCACTTGTAAATAGGAATACTAAATCTGAGCAATTTTGTCTTTTTATATTTTGAAAAAGTGCAGTGCATCACTTTTATCAAATGGTACAGAATCAGCGTTTATCGCTTCTTATCTCCCTTCAGCAACATAAAGCCGGCATTTAGGATTTCGTAGTCAAAGCAATACCGTGAAATCTGATAAAACTGTCACTCCACACCCTTTGAATCATCAACTTTTTCATTAATTTGATTTGCAATCTGATAAACTCAGTATAAGATATAGGTACTTTCCTTTTTGGAAATTAAAACAGCTTGAGAAATTACAATTGATAAAAACAAGTAACCAAATCCTTAAAGCATTAAAAAATAAATAAAACTATAATCTTTAGAAGAATTTGAAGTAAAGCAAGACTGTATTTTATGAACAGGTAGTAAACAAAGATTTTGGATGGTTAAGGACATACGCTAGGTACCTTACCTACTGATAATTTTTCAAGATATTCTTATTATTATTATTAGTATTAGTTTACTAATAGTCAAAACAAGAATCTAAAAATTAACTGCTAACATTTGTCTGCAAAGGATGAAGTAAACGGTATTTCAACAGTCAGAATTACAGAGGAATTGGGCGTGGTCACTACGGATTCAGTGTTAATTGTTTTAAATATACTTTTCTCTCTTACACCCACAGTGCAAATTAGAATAAGTAATAATAATACATTTATACACTGCTTGGACAGGCCCGTAGAACGCGGGGGGGGGGGAGGGGGGGGGCTAAATACCTATTGCTACTTGCATGTTAATTTTCATGGTTGTATACCGAAACTTGTTTGTAAGAGACACTGATATATAGAAATTGTGGTTGTAATAAAGTAAAAACTGAAAGTATGTAAGGAAATAGAACATCAAGTTCCTAAATACTTTGTTATACGTTTTACTATATATAATGGTTTTAATACAGCTAAATTCAAAATAATCTGTTTGACTGATCACGGGAACTTTTTTAAAGATAAGAAATGGGATAGGATTTATTTGTGAATGAATCAAATATGTTAAAAGCTCTTCTAGTCATATTTTTTCAGATACATGTATATGAATCGCAACATAACATATCAATGGGGAGGGTGAATAATGTTAGGGATGTAAGGGATGTCCTTTTAGAAATATTGCATTTAATCGTCTTTCTGATTGTACAAAATCTACTTCATGTGCAGTTTACAAAAATGAAGGGCAAATTGTGTTATATCCCTGATTTATCGACCGTGGAGTGTCCCAAGAGTTCGATTTTAAAATACTCAGTTCCTGTACTTAGAAATATTCCTGCATCAAATCCTTTTGTAACATAAAGGATTATAATGAAATCTTTATATTAAATGGATTTGTGAAGAGATCTGTTGTCCATAACTTTAGATTGAAAAAAAAAAAAAAAAAAAAAATAAGAGATATATTTTATGGTTATTGATTTTTTTAATGTTCTCTGACTGAACGTTAATTGCAAAGACAATTTTGAAATAATCCAGGAACATGAAAACGAACTGTAGAATATTAAAATGTTTGAAAAATCTGGTTTGCATTGACACATTGCAGTATTGTCTTTATTGTAACAGTTGCAACTTTAAAAAAAATCTCGGGTTATGTAATCTTTTCTGCTATTCTGCCACTGTTTTGCCCCGTACCACACAACAGAGAAAGACGTTTATTGTTAATATTTGTATTTTTCGAAATCATTTACCGGAATATATTATATAAATCAAGTATGATGTTTGGCGGAAATTGTTTTTTTTAACTTTTCTTAATGTATATATTCATATTCAAGTCGTCTTGATTGAAAAATATTTAACACTTCTTTCTAAAATTTTCCATACTCTTCAGTACATTTTTCATTAATATACATAGCAAATTTTTAAAAAAAGTTGTATGCTCAAATAAACAAAATATGGGATTTTATGTTATCTATGGTATCGGTTTACGGCGCACGGATGATAACGTCAAAATATCTGAAGCAACGTCACGTTTCATCTTTGCTTAAAAAGGCGGATAAGCCTCAATTTAATTCCGGGAATTTTACTGACGAACACGTACACTCGAATTCCCCTTAATTCCTCCATAAACAGTCGAGGGACAGTCTCGTACACGCACTGTGGCAACGCACTTTGAAAAAAATTACGCACTTTGAAAAAAAATTCAAAGTGCGTTAAAACTGGGACAAAATCAAAGCACTTTGAAATTTTTTTTAAAATGCGTTAAGATTAGGACAAAATCAACGCACGTTGAATTTTTTTTTTCAAAGTGCGTCAAGAGTGTACATCAAAATTTTTTAACCATGAAGACACTTAACTACGAAAGCCCAGAAGGCTCATTCGAGATTCGAAATACGAGATTCGAAATTCGAGTTTCGAGATTCAAGATCCAAACTAACCAATCAAAAGGTGGTTTAAGATTCAATTACTCCCCTTTGCCGACCGGTCACACCCGCCGTGCCCATACAAACAGCAAGAGTATGTACAGAAACAAATAAATATTAAAAATATGAAAAAAAAGCGTGGTCGAATAAAAATAATATTTACACATCATATAATGTAAAACTTCCATAAAACTGAACATAATCAATGAGGTGTTTGGCACATTTTAGTTAGTTTGTAGACTGAAAATAATTTCTGATATATGCTGATTTAAAACTTTGTAATGAGGGATTACACTTTAAAAATTCTGGCAATTCATTCCATATTTGCGAGCCGTAAATTGTAAAAGATCTTTATAATATTCTGTTTTTGCCCACGGAATGTACAGTGCGTTGCTTTGGCTTAATCTAGTAGATCTGCTGTTTATTTCATATACATATTTAAAAACATCTAAATAATTTGGAGCTAATCCATGCAGAACTTTAAAAACAAGAATGACAGTTCTATATATAAAATAGTCATTTAGAGGATCCATTTGAGTTGCAGAAACATTTCTGATGTAGGTGTATAAAAGGTTTTATTTAAAATCACTCTAGCGGCTCGCTTTTGGAGTTTACACAGTTTGTTAAGACCGTCTTTGTTCTTCATATTGCCCCAAACAGTACAGCAGTAATTAAAATGAGGAAAAACAATTGTATTGTAAATTTTTAGCAATAACTCCGAGGACATGAATGATCTTAATCTAGATAAAACACCTATTTTGCCTGCAAGTTTTTTTTATTAAAATTTCAACATGTTCAGACCACGTAAGACACCTGTCAATGTAAACACCAAGTAATTTCGCACAAGATACATTTTCAATAACAATACTGCCCACTTGAATAGATAGATTCCTACAATTTCTTAACCTTTGTTCTGTACCAATTAACATACACTGAGTTTTTTTAAGACTGATTGTTAACTTGTTTTTCTCCATCCATTCTAACGTATTGAGAAGATCGCTATGTAATTTATTTTCAATAACATT